AAAAAAAAAAAAAAAGTCAGGCTCTTTTATATATATATTGTCACAAACATATATATATATATATATATATATGTATGTATTTTATTTATTTATTTACTAGGCTACCAGCCGGGCCGCCCGTGTCCCGGGTGGCCAGCCCGTGCAAGGACCAGCAAAGGACCCAGCAAAAGAAAACAAAAAACAAAATCCAAAAAATCAACCAAAAACAACTATGTTATGCAGAAAAATAAACTGAATAACTTTTGCCTCGGGGTCGCATCGAAATTCTTCACCAAATTCAAAATAAAAAATACAATTCAAGAATATATATTTCTATTTATTTATTTTTTAATGTTTTTGGCCCGGCCGGGCAAGTGACCCCGGCGGACCACTCTGGTAGCCTAGTTTATTTATTTATTTTGAAAAAGGGCCCCAGTGCCCAAGACTCAGCTTATACCACCAGTACTTGGCCCAGCTATCGGCCGCGGCGCTTCCCCGTTAACGCGCGCCTCGCCTTTAGGGCTTCGGGGTACCGGACCACAATGGCTGCCAGCCAAAAACAAAACAAAACGGTACCGCGGCGCTTCGGCAAAAATCGGCGCGCAGGGGCATTCCAGGCTCGGCATCGATAGCTGGGCCAAGTACTGGTGGTTTATGAGGTTGAATACAACGCACACACACGCCTCTTCCCATTAGGGCTGGAAGAGCCTCAGCCACTGCTACGGTTTCCTGGGTAAGGTCACGACGCTTCAGGCCTGGGCCTGTAGTGAATGTGGAAGGCCTCTATGAAAGGGGAAAAAAACAGTTGGAGGCTCGCAAGCCCTGGAGGGTGGCTTTGTGAACTTAAGCTCGGATGAACTGGCGGTTGAATACTAAACCCTAAAAACTTCAAACACTGCCGGCATCTTCCTCCCTCGGCGGTGTGGTTCAAGTTAGTCAATGGTGGGAGCGTGTTACTGCTCGAGGATACTACCGTCTTCACCCAAATAGAACGCCCGGTCATTATAGCGGTATTTGGCACAACTTGCAGTCCAGATACGGCGATAATTACCGGGCGTTCTATTCGGGTGAAGACGGTAGTACAACTGGATAAAGCAGGTGTGGGTGGGAGTGCATGGGTGAAGGGACCAGTGGACAAAAGGCTTCATATTTACAGGGAGATTACCATCCAAACAAAGGTGTTATATTGCCCAGCACTTCAAGGCTAGAGGCTTCTCTCTTTTTGTGATTGCTGTGGAGGGACAGGGGAATCAACAAAAGCATCCAACAGGCACCATCTGAAACCTAATTTCTGCGAGGAGCAGAAAAGTCTGCCTCTCACGTTATCAGGGCATGCTCAAACTTGGACTTCTTTGACTTAGGGTCTGATCCCACTCTACTTACGGAACAAGAATCTGTAAAAGTAACGAAAAAGCTGGGCCCGCTCCGAGAGGCCCGTAAAAGAAAACGGGGACCCCACAGAACCGCAATCGGTGGAGGTTTGACGTGTGTTGCAGCGCGTTTCGTTGGGCGGGTGGTCGTGAGGGACCTACAAAGGTGTCCGCCTCAACGGACACCTGTTTCGGCCTCTGCCCCGCTGGTGCCTGCCGTGTCACACCACAAATGGACCACGGACAAACCATGCAAACCAAACGGACACAAACAAAATTCACAAAAAAAAAAAAAACGTCCTTCTTTTTCGCTGCAGGGTACGGGCCCGGTTCTTTTCCAAATTCCCTCAAGCTTTTTTGGTGACGATCACTCCCTGCCCGCCACGACTTCAAACGTTTCTACTTACCTCCGAAGGCGCCGCGGCTGCGGAACCATGTGGGATCCGCCAAAACACTACGTTTTACTTACCGTAAGTAGTGTGGGATCAGACTCTTACCTCTGGACATGATTGCAGTCAGATGCATCATGGAGGAGCCGCGATTGCAGCCAGATACGTGCACAAGAGTCCCTGTGAATGCCTCCCATGGGGCAGGCCTTACTGAGAAAGGCAAGTTGTTTCACTCGAGGTTATTCTCGATTCTGAAAAAGGGAAGGTCACCCCTGAGGGGCTCTCCTCCTGCCTGTTCTAGCCCTCCTACCAGATTCCAGTGGGGCATGGGCCACTTTCTTCACATGTGAACTTTTCTTGGACGCTGAACCTGATTTCCAGCAGCTCCCCATCGCTAGAACGGAGCAAACAATTGAAAGGAAAAAGGCAGAAAAGAAACAGCACTGTAGCCCCTGGCCAACTGGGTGTAGCTCAGTTGGTAAGGCGTTCAAGCGGCACTCAGGAGGTCGTGGGTTCAACTCCCATTGCCCCCACGATAGTGCCTGTGGCATGCTTGCCATCTTACCTTCGAGATGGTCAGTTGGTAAGCAAGTACGTGGTACGGGGAGGTTGTGGGTTCGACTTTGTCGGCCCACAACTTCCCCTGAGCACAATTGGTTGGTGTAGGTTGCACCCCACGTACTTGTCCCGAGCCTGGCATAGCGCCNCGGCCCACAACTTCCCCTGAGCACAATTGGTTGGTGTAGGTTGCACCCCACGTACTTGTCCCGAGCCTGGCATAGCGCCCTTACAGACTAACGACCTCAATAGCTCAGTGGGTGGAGCTCTGATATACTAACTTGGAGGTCCTGAGTTCAACTCCAACTATGCTCATTCATCATATCAGCTAAGGGATGATCCGCTACATGGTTTCGCGTGGGGACGTGTGCCTTTCCTGCGGGAAAGTTGATGTGGGATGGATGCTACTCTCTTGGGCAGGTGAGTAGTAAGGGGTTGGTTGGGTGCATGGTGATACCATGGCAGTCCTATGGTGGGGAGGGTTGCCTTGTAGGGAAACCAATGTCGAATCAAGAGGTGTGTCCTACTCTCGATGTCTGTAGACCCATTTCGAGGTGGTGGGTTATCAGAGGTTTGCTAGACGACGGTCGAGGTCTCCACCATTACCACTGGTTGATTCTCCCTAGCGAACAGACAAGCAAGGCTCATCAGAAGCAGAAAGCAACCACACACATCCACATAGATTATGATATCACATTAGCTGACATACCAACCAGCATATGCTACAACTAACAGTAGACATATATGATCCGAGCTGTGCTAGGTTAGTGCTTAGAGGGGCTCATAGGTTAAGACCTTGGTTAGTTGACCATTAGACACTGCCTATGAGTGCCCTCACTACTCACGGGACTAGCTGAGAACTATGGGCCTCGTTAGACCCTCCTTGAAAAATCCTCAGGAATTAGGACGAAGTCCTTGGAAAATTTCAAGGAATTCGGCGGCGGCGTTACACCGCGTCCTAAACGAAAGGGTCCCAAGGAAAAACCTTGGAGGTATCCCGCGGCCAATTTCATACGCATATGCGAGGCCGCGGGAGAGGATGTCTGTCGTCGTCGAGGGATGTCCGTCCGTCGTCGGGCGTGGTCCACTAACGGCGCAAGGAGGCCCGCGATGCTGCGCTGCGAAAAGAGGCGCGAAGGTTCCTTTTCGGAATTCGAATTTCAAACCGTCAGCCGAGGTAAAGGCGCGCCGTGGCGTCACCACCCCTGGAGCTACCAGTGTGCGAAACGTGTGCGCGGACGATTTGCGGCGCCCATCGCTGTTGACGACTCGTTCATCCGATCGTCAGCCGGCGCGGCGCGAAAGGTGACGACGTTGGAGCGCGTGAAGTGGTGTTTGTCCCGCCTTCATCTTCCTGCAGACAACGATGATCCGGTCGCTCACCATAGCTTCACGCGCCCGTCATTCGTGTACGAGGAGCTGCCCTCGACCACTCCAACGTCCGCTGGGACAGTGTGTGACGAGGGTCCAGTCGTCCGTCTGTTGTGCTTGTTCAACAACGCGTCGTCGGGGCATCGTGATGGAACACGTGTTGCAGGAGGTTCGTGGCAAGACCTTGAGCAGGGTGGAGAGAAATGCGGTGGTTGCAGCAGTGTTGGCGGTGGCCATGCGATGTCGCATCGAGAGAACGACGGCGCGGTTGAGGACGAGAGTGTTTATCCGCAGGCAGCGTGAGCTCCTCCACCACGTGATGGCGGCGCCAGACTGCGTGTCCATGTCCGAATCCATTATCCAGTTTTGCGTCGCCATGTCATCCGGGGCGATACCGCGGGCGACTCCAAGGTGGTGGATGCGGAGAAGGACGGGTGGCACGTGGGAGGATCTGCGGAAGATGGACGACGCCTCGGACGAGTACTACAAGGAAAAGTTGAGGATGACCCCCAGGGTGTTGATGGAGATCGTGGAGGCGTTGTCCCCTCTTCTGCAGCGGCGGGTGACATTCTACAGGGTTCCTTTGCAACCGGATCACATCATCGCATATGCGTTGTACCGATGGGCGAGCGGTGAGACGTACGAGAGCAGCACATCGTCATTCGGAATAGGGCGCGCATCCGGGTTGATCGCAGTGGAGGACGTTACGAGGGCGCTTCTGAGGGTGTACAGTGACAAGATCGTTTGGCCTACTAGGATGCGTCGTACGCTCGTTCTGCGTGCCTTCGAGGCGAAGGGCTTTCCCAACTGCTATGGCTGCATAGACTGCACGCACGTTTACGTCGACAAACCGGCGAACGCTCCTTCGGAGAACTACTTCGACCGGAAGCATCGTTTCTCCGTTGTAGCGCAGGTGGTGGTGGACCTGGACTTGCGCATCRCGGAYGTTTTCGTCRGTTACCCAGGGAGCTGCCATGACATTYGGGTGCTTCAGCTCTCCAGTCTGTGGGCGCGTRCGGAGGAGGGGGATCTTTTCCATGGAGCTCCTGTTGTGYTGYCGTTYGGAGTGASGRCACACGGTTACATTCTGGGCRACAACRGGTATMCGCCGCTGGAGTGGATTGTCATGCCGTACGAGGGGACCGATCAAATCCCCGACGAGGAGAGGTTCGACAACAAGCAAAAGGTCGCCAGGGGAGCAGTGGAGAGAGCTTTCGGGAGATTGAAAGGGATGTGGAGGTTGTTCCTCCGCACACACAAGACGAATATGGACACTCTCCCACAACAGTTCCAGGCCGTGTGCATTCTGCACAACATCCTCCTTGACGCTGGCATGGAGTTCAACGAGAACTTGCTGTGGGAGGTCGATGCTAATGGCGTGCGGCGGCGAGTGGACTTGGGGTTGGATCATCCACCCCACCCCATTGCTGAGAACTTCAATCGGCCCCGTGCGTTGGCGCTACGCGAGGCGTTGGCGGAGCGGATGAAACACGCGTGAAGGCGCGCACCGCGTCGACGGCACGTGGCTCTGCCGTCCTTGTGGAGGTCGTTCTGTGTTGTGTCCAACGGAGGCATTTTGTGTTATTTAGTTGTTGCAGGCGTGTGCCGTGCCCTGGGGTGTTGTGTACGTTTAGTGAGGGTTGTCATTGATCGCTAGTGTCGCGGAGCCGTCGGCGGAGACGCTGTTCATCCGCAATTCTTTTCCTATTTTTTTTGTTAAACATTTTGTAGTAGGTTGTTAACGCCCCGTGATGCGGTTTGTTGTGAGTGAGTGCGCGCAGCTGCACGATTTCGTTTTCGAAGAAGACGGTGTTTGTCGGCGGGGTAACCGGTCCGGAGGTGACTTATTATTGTTCTCCTTCTTTCAAATGTGTACCGTGGACTGGAGTTCCGGTTGTGTGTGTGCGTATATCGGTGCTGTGTGAAGATGCTGTGGTTTCGTGTATGTGATTGCAATCCAAATGTCTTTTTTTCCTCTTTCGTTTTTTTTCGTTTCGTTGTCTTTTTTTTTTTTTTTTCTTAATGTTGCGGTTTGTATGTGAGGGGCGATGTGTGCGCCTTCATTGATTTGTTGTCTCCTCGTGCGCCTTCCATTGATATGTTGTATCCTCAGGAGGACTGAAGCGTGAATGCGGTTTTTTTTTGCAGTTTACAGTGCGCTTTCATCAACAAACTGAAACCCAATCCACCAGCAATGCCCGACCTCGCGGAGCATCACACCCTAGCTTGGACGAGGTCAGTTCATCGGCTTGCCGACAAAGCTGTCCGTCCTGAGGTGCGCTGATCATACGTATCATCCCATTGGAAACCGACGACCGTTCCGAACAATCACCCAATCATCACGAAGAAAAGGACATTCACACCAAACAGGAGAAAGTGAGATTTGAGGAAACGCATCGTCATATTCCAACGGGACACACCGTTCAATTGCTGGGCTAGGTCGAATTAACACACTCGCAGATGATCATCCTTGCCATCGCAGTGGCAAACAACGACCGTTCCAAACAAAAAAACAATCAGCACGAAGAAAACGACATTCACACCAATCTCGAGAAAGAGAGATTTGAGGAAACGCATCGTCACATTCCAACGGGACACACTGTTCCATTGCTAGACTCCGTCCAATGAACACACTCGCAAAACCCTATCGACATCGGACTGTCGTTTTCAAAAAAGAACAATAAAAGGCATCGCTCGTCATTCTTGGCGCAGACCAACCATCGCACTTACTTCACAATGCACCTTCAAATACCCTACAAAGCCGGCCTCTGTCGGAGGTCGGTTAACAACTACCAAGCGTCTTTGGGAGACGAGACACTGCGCGCGTGCAGCGGGGCGAAACAGGAACACAATCTACGAAGCGGCCCTCTCGTGGCGAAACGCGTCAATGCATGCAAACCATCTGCGGTCGTCGCCGTCATCCCCAGACTCCGAACATCCATGTGCCCCCACCCCCCCCTCCAAACCATCCCCGATTAGGAGCGCGCATCGTCGCCTCCTATGCGCATGATCCACATGCACGCGGCGAGAAGCAGGCGGAAAGCATCCCCGATTCTACTCAGTCTCTGGTGTGACAATCTACCGCCGTCCCACCACTGCCCAACCCGGAGCGCGTCGTGGAAACATGACGCAAGATGCATCACAGTCGCCTCCTGGTGCATGGCCATGTCATCGTCCTCCGGCCTATTCTCGATATATGCCCCAGTGAACCACACTGGGATGTCCACCTTCAAAGCGACCGTGTGGTAAACTACGGCGGGCGGCACTATCCTCGACCACTCGAAGCTCTGCCAAACTGCTCTCGCCAGGTCGGTGGGGTAATCTGTGGCGACGTAGGACTCCGCGCGGGCGAAACCATCGGACCTTGAAGACGACCTGAATATCCACCCGTGTATGACGCGCATTGCCACGTTCTCCGTTCGTCTCGCCCGTCTGAGAGCTGGCTCTCGTTGCGCGCCATCTTCGATCCGCACGCGCGGGACTTCGGGGGGCGACATCATGAGGCCTTGCGGAGCGCTGGCGCCTGCATCTCTATTCACGATCACGCAGAAGTAGTCCGCGCAGGAATGCACTGCGTCCGCGATCATCCATCCGGGGCCGGTTGCCCAGAACGCTTTGTTGTCTACCCACAACTTTGATTTCGCCTCCAACTCCTCTTGGCCCAACCTTTTCTTCCTCCTGCTCAGAGGCTGGTCATCCTCTTCTTCCCCGCGCGGAGTCTCCTCCCTCCTCTCCTGTTTTCTCCCCGCCTCTTCCACCCTCCTATCTTCTCGCCTTTCTCCAACACCGAGGGCGACGGCATGGCCAGCGGCGCTCGCTGCTTGCGCGGATTGAAGCACATCCCTCGGTGAAGTGGCGACGATCGTCGGGTTCGACGCCTCCACGTGGCGCGATGGAGACTCACCTACCGGAGCTTTTTCGCCGCGCTCGGACACGGATGCGATGGTAGATGCAGAACCCACGTCCCTCTGCGGCGGAATGTCACTGGACGAAACTCCTTGCGCACGAGCCGTCCCGCCACCGCCGCCGCGCGTGGACGTCAGGACGCCAAGGTTGGTGAGCGCAAGCATACGCTGCCTTCTCATACCGTCACGCCCGAACCCGAGCACAGGCATCCCTTTAGAAGTGATGTCCATAGGCGTCTCCTCCTCTCCCCCGTCACCCCCCATCTCTCCTTCCGACCCGTCTCTCGCGTGGAGCTTCTTCGACTTTGGGATGTGGCCCCTTCCTGTTTGCCCTGCACCCGCTTCACCGGAACCACCGTGTGGACGTTTCGCCTTCTGCTGGCCACGTGGCGCCATTCGCTGACGGTCGGATGCGCACGCCCCGTGAACAAAAAACCGATTGCCGCTGCGCACGAGAGGAAGTCGTCAGGGATCGTCTTGCGCGGGTGATGTTCAGCTCCCCGCGCAGCACAACGGGAACCCGACGCGTGGCCTTGCGCGCAGTTAAGAAGCAAAAGACTGGGAGAAGATAGCGCTCGCGCGAACCTTTATAGTGCTCGCGGTGACATTTCCCCTCCCTCGGCGCACAGATCCCGCCCGGACGGCCTCCAGCACACCCCTCCACGCGACGATAACGACGATCACCCATTCCGCATGGGGGGAGACCACCCCAAATACCAAGGGACAATGCGGTCCGGGGAATGGACGGCCCTGCCCTGGAGAGCCAGCGACTCAACATTTCGAAGCGCGCGAGGGTAGACGGCCATCGTGCACACCATCCCCCACCTTGTTTCCTAGATTTCTGTCGTTGTCGGAGGACCGACACCACAATTCGCGACGGGCTAGATCGCGGGCGAATCCACTTCAACGGCTTGACAAACCTCACACCACCGGTGTCAAGATCTATCCCTTATCGCTCTGGCAATCTCCATCAACGCCGTGCACATCATCCTGTTCGCCTCATCGGACGCCGTGTAATGCCTCTCCAGTATGTCACACTTGCGCTTCTGGGCTTCAACCTCCCGGTCGAGGATGTCACACTGCCGCTCCAGGATGCTACACTGTCGTTTGCTCGCACCCTCTACCGTGTCCGCCATCAATGCACCTTGTTTGTCCATGACTTCGGCGATGGCGTCGAAGGTCTGTTGCCGCATGTTCTTCCTCTTCGCTGGAGTGCCCATGCTCCCTGCACTGAACCCCGTATCCCGCGCTGAACCCACATCTTCATCAACGCCATCACCTTCTCTCCACCAACGGCCGCCTGGCGGTGACCATCCATTGCTGGCGGCACTCCTCCGCGTGCGCTCGTGTCTGCCACGTTGTCCGGGTAGATGGTCTTGTTATTTTTCGACATATTGTCGACCTCATTGAAGACTCGCTCATCCATTCGGAGTTGAAACCCTCGTCCGCTCTCGTTGCAAGAGTTAATGTGAAGAAGTTCTTCCCACCGGACATGTTCTGGTAACGCTGCACCTTCTTGTACTGCTGGAAGACGTTGTCCCACTTCTTCCCTATGTCGTCCGTTGTCCTGTTCACTCCGACCTCCGCCAGCCGCTTCTGCAGGTCCAGCAGCTTCCACTCCCTGTTGCGCATGCGGCCGTAGTTGTGTGGCATTCCCTCGAAATGAGCTTGCTGATCCCGCTTCGCTCGAGCGAGCTTCATCATCTCCTCCACACTCCAAGCTGGGTGCTCGCCACCCTTGTCGCCCATAGGAGCCTTCGATCCTCAGCCACCACGCGACTCGCCCCTCTGCTGACGTCCGCGTCCTCCCCTCCGCCCACCACGCGCAGCCACGGGTCGGATCTCCAGCCCCTCACCGTCTTCCGCGTCGTCTTCGTAACGGGAATCCGGAGACTCGTCCCCACTCGTCCGACGGCTCTCGTCCGCATCCACGTCGCTCCCCACACGAAGCCTGGACACACCGGTGGTTATGTTCTCCGTGGCCGCGCGTCGCATCTGTAGGCGGCAGTTCTCCCACGCCTGCCTTCTTCCGGTGGAGTCCCATCATTGATTGCAGCACTCGTGGTCGCCCTCTGCCGCATTGCAGGCGAAGACACCGAGGGGCGGATGGGTGTCACTGCCCTTGACGACTCGCCAAGTGGCCCGGCGCCCAAGGAACTCGGGACCGGTGGACGACACCCATTCGTCAGCCCACCGACATGAGACGATCCTCCTCCCAACGTTGGCGATCCCACCACCCCCCCGCCATGGATCGAACCACTTGCACCACTCCCGCTGCACAATCCGAAATCCAAGTCCACACGCTCCGTGGCGACGTTGTCGACACCCTCCTCCAGCAATGCGGTGAACGACTCGCGCGTGGTCCCTGCTTCCCTCTGCTGGCACTGCCTGCTCGTCCACTCCCCAGAGGAAGTGTGTGCGACAGATCCTCAACCCAGACGTCCTCCGGATCCGGCGGTAGCGGCTGTTCATACGGTGGAAGATGATTGTACAAGGACGGGTCATATGCGGCGGGTCGATGGCCGGACCGGGGCCGATAAAGAATGGAGAAATCCATCACACGTCTCTGCTGTCCGACGGAGCTGTCCCGCCTGTCCATCGTCGTCTTCCTATCCACTTGTCGTCTTTGTCTACGCCCAGGAGGCCGCGTCACGATGAAGGCGTGCAAAAAAGACGAGAAGAAGCAGCAGAAGAGATGCTCGTAACAGGAGCGGTAGCCGCCGGAAGATGTCTGCCATGAAACACACCACGTGTAGATGACGACCCGAACGGACAACCCTCACGCGCGCACGCGAATGGCAGAAACGGGGCGGCCGGCGACAACATCACTCCCCTCACATAAAACAAATTTCAAAATATTCAACCGTTGGACACGACGCCTGACGAAGT